GTCTTTTATTGTCCTATTTCATTTGCTTTGAGAACCAATTAGGAGGTTTTTAGAAAAAGAAGCTGGGAAAGTTGTAATTGAAACTGCTCCTGAAAATACTAACGTTAATGGTGTGGATAAAAATTTGATGAAATACGCAAATTAAAAATAACTGTTTTTTTGCCTTTTTTTTTACTAACTTTTTTAAGTTGCAACTCAGTTGCAGTTTTTTTTACTCTGTCAGTTTGCTTGTTGATTTTATAATTTGTTTCTCTTTTTTTCTTTTTGTCCACTTCTTTTTTCTTTCTCTTTCTCTCCTTATTTCTTCGTTGTCATCACTTGTATTCCTCCAGCGGTTAGCGTTATATGTAAACAGAATTTTTTCGCACGAGCTTGAGAAAAAAGGCTGTAACGGCAACAAAGTGTGCAAATTTTAACCACGTGTGAATTAACGGTTGTAAAAGGGATGGCAGAAACACTGTGCTTTCTTGGAAAAAAAAGAAACAAATCAAAAAGAAAAGTTATTTTTTAAAAGAAAGAGGCAAAAAAAGAGTCAAAATAAAAAAAAAAAGAGAGAAATAAGATACTAAAAGAAGGCAAATTGTTTATTTTAATAATAATTCGAAAAAACGGCAGAAAAAAAGAAAAAACAATTGAAAGCCTGCCGAAAGAGGCAGATAATTTAGTAAGGAGAAAGAAACAGAAGACAATGAAATTAAGCTCTTCGCCAGCATTAACTTTCATCCTAAAGCAGCAGCAATATCAAAAGAAGTAAATACAAGATTTCCGGTTTTAAAACACAAAATTTTCTTTTCCTTTTGGGTTTTAATTTTAGTTTTTAGTGAAACCCAATAGGTCTATAAACAAAAAAAAGTCAGTAAAAAACTGCATTTTTTGATTTTGAAAGAAAAAATTTACTCCGAAAAAGGCTTCTTTTGAGGTAGGTTCATCGGCTGCAAAAGCCTTCATCAGCGCCGAAGAAGACGAATATATAATGATTTTTGCTTTTGACCGAAATAAAGAAATTTTTTTTGAGAGAAAAGTTATAGCATCAGGAATATTTTCAAAAAATATTTTGCTGTAAGGTACGCTATGAAAAAGAAAGTGAGGAAAAGGAGGCAGAAAAACGAGGAAGATAAGCAAGAAATGCAAACAGATCTTTCATATTTTGATTTGTTTCAGCAAAGTACAAACAAAAGTGGAAATTGTTGAAAAAATTAAGGGAGTAAAAGAAGGGACAATTGAAGTATCTTTATCGTCGGATGATCAAAGAGGAACTGTCAGTTTTAGAATAAATTACTTTCTATTAATAACTAGTGGTTTTTAAAAGTATTGAAGAAACGATAGGAACAATGAGAAGAAAAATTTGATCTCATTGCTAAATAGACATCGAACAGGTTGTACTTCTCATATTACCACTAACAGTAACCGACAGCTCTATTCTTGCCATCTGACATTACTAGCGAGAAAAGCATATTGATATTTGTTCTGGAATATCTCTTTTTTTCTTCTAAAAATTTTTTTCTAAAAATTTTTATGCATTTAAGAAATACACCTTTCATTTATCAGAAAAATACCCATAAAACACTTTTATTCGTTATGCTAAGACTCAAAAGAAATTTTTTTTACGCTTTAAAATTTGTTGCTTCTTTTGAAGTAAAAAATTTTAAATAATTTATAAGAAAAAAGTAATAACACTAGAAGAACAACTTCTTTTGGAGACCAACTATTCATTAAAGTACTCCTATATTAGCACTAAGTAAGTTTGTCTTGATCATTTTTTTCTTGATGTTTTTTTAGCTAATACTGCCGGCATTGCTCTCTGTACACCAATCATAATTTCTACTTTTCTGTTCTTCTTCTTCACAATTAAACTGATACTCTTATACGTGTTTCTATAACAAAAAAAAAA